GAGAGAGAGAGAGAGAGAGAGAGAGAGAGAGAGAGAGAGAGAGAGAGAGAGAGCAAAGAATCCCTTTCACACATAAAGGAGGGCCCCTGCAGGTATTCTGAAGGGTCCTCCCAGCAAATTAGCGTAGACCCTCCACCAAAATCGAGGCAGGCAATAAGTATGAAGTGGAGCAGGAGCTCGAGGAATGTATACTTCAGATTTGAATTCAGGTCGGTGTTTCACCCGTTATGGGTTGCTCACCTAGCTAGGCCCTGTTGGTCTTTGCTCATGATTCTCAGGGCTTGGCTGCACTACTCACCAAATGTGCAAAATTAGAATGAATCTTCTGCTAAAACGTGGAATAATACACCGCCATATGTTTTGTCTTTTGTGCATGTGGTAAGGAGAGGCCCTTAGGGCCACTGCACGTTGTCGAGCGCATCGGTCCCGCAGGGGGACCCTCCCAGCCACGTCACGCATGATTTTGCAGGACTTTTTCGCAAGGGAGCTTTCACCACTCCGGTCGAGTGCGCCAGCCGCACCTCTCGCGAACCCCTACAACAGGATAAAGGTCGTGCGAGGAACAACTTACCTCTGCCCAAAGGGCTGCCAGTATCCCCGCCGAGCTATTGAACCACGTGCGAAAGCTGCTCGAGTGCAATCGCAGAGGTGGCCCAACCAAGGGCGTTTCTCGTTCGCTGTAGCATAGGGGGTATGCGTGGTCGGAAGCCTTAATCGGACCCGTATGCAAACCGGCGCTTTGGGGTCTGATCTCCCAAGCGCGGCTCTGCGCCGCTTGACTAGGACAATCCATCTAACCATGCGGTACACTTCACAAGAATAAACCAAGCTTCATACATAAATCGTGCCTAGTCCATAACCTTCACAAGAAATGGCATCGAAGGAGAACCGCAGTAACGAACTCATTTGTCAATGAAAACATATGCTTGCCACCTCTGCAGATGCGAATGAAACTCTCTCTCGTAACGGCAGTCAGCGTCGTGGTCACGATCACACGACTATTATATCCAAGCTAAAAGTGGCAAGACAATCCGTTGTCGTCAGCAACAGCAACCAAAGTACATTCAAATGTCGACCAAGCAGCAGGTGTGTGGCCTCACTTGATGACTGCAATCAATGGCCTCTCACATTGATGACTCTCTTCTCATTATTGCCTTCATGTGCTGAATGCACCTGGTCAGAACCGCTGTTGGGTTCAAAACAAATACGCTGCTCGCATTAGCTCTAGAATTCCCATGGTTATCCGAGTGGTAAGAAGACCGCCAGATAAATGATAACTGATTTAATAAGCCAGTCGCAGTTGCATAGTGCAAAGCGTTCCTACTGAGACGTGCATGGCTTCGGGAGGGAGCAACTGCAGACTCCGCTACACCACTTACCAAATGCACAAAATGAGAATGAATCTACCTCTAAAATACAGGAAGATACTAGGGTCCGACGCCAGCCATTGACATGCCAGTTGCCTGCGACTTTAAGCTCGTTCAAGGGTGTGCACAAACTCAAACCTCTCACAGGTGATCGCGGTTGGCGGCTGATGGGACAGGTAGGCAAATCTCTCTCTCTCTCTCTCTCTCTCTCTCTCTCTCTCTCCTGTCTCTTATACACATCTAGATGTGTATAAGAGACAGGCGTTGGTGTGGCCTGAGGGCTTGAACATTGGCTC